TAATTTAACGATAATACTAATATAATAAATAATAATAATAAAATATAAGAATAAAATAAATAAAATATAAATGTTAATTAAGTTAAAAATGCTAATGATGTTAATAATATTGATTATTCGTCAATCTTTATGATGCAGTAGGATTGACTTCATATAATATCAATTTCCTTCTCGAAATTTGCAGCTCCTGCAAAATTTCATAGGCTTCGTTAACTAAGTCCTTGAATTCCTGGGATTTAAGATTATAAATCGTCCTGAGAGTTATTTTCCTAATATGTCCGATTTGTGCAATTCCCAGAGTTTTAAAAAGATAATAAGTTCTTTTTGAGGCCTTCCGATAGTATAAGGTTATTAGGTTCCTAAATTGAGTTCATTTGACTAGACTTGAAGTTTCTGTTTCCATTACTTGTTCAAGATAAAATGCATTAGTTAAGGCTAATACTCTATTTTTCAACCTGGTAGCTCATAATAAAGCTTTATAAGTAGTTTTGACTTTTTTGTAGTTGAGTCAATCTCTATGTAAGATGGGGAAATATTGATATCTGCTAAAATGTTAACAATCATTAAATCATTCTTACTTCTTGAAATAAGGTCATCATATTGGAAAATGAAACCTTTGAAATGAAACTGTCTAGTCTGTTTCTGTGGCGAAGGTAAAGCTATTGATATTTCTTTTCTTTTCTTTTCTTTTTTATTAAATTATTTTATTAATATTTTTATTTTTATTTGTTTTTTTTATCTAATTAGGTTTGATCAGGCCTTTTACTTAGGGACAGAACCTTCAAAATAGATCTGTCCAATCTGTCACTACAGCAAAGATAAGCTGTCAATTTTCTTTTTTATTAATAATAAATTTTTTTTTAATAAATTATTATTTAATAATTTATTAAATTAGTTCCTTCACTTTGGCTAAGAATCAGACGAAACCTTTGAAAATGAACTGACTAGTGACGAAGGTAAGCTGACTAATTTTTTTTTGATTTATTTTTTTTTTCTTCTTATTTTGATAATTAATTTGATTACTAATTTTATTTATTTCATCTTATTTATTTGATTTAGGCAGTTTTAGGTTGGATCAAGATCAGATCATCCTTTGGCTAAAATTATCAGATGAAATAGGATTTTTATTACCGCAGTATATGTTTTCAATGAATTCTTTCAATTAGTAATTGTAATCATTCAATCCCAATTTTTTTTTAAAAAAAATCATATATAAACAACCGTTGTTCCTATCAATATTGATATTGATATTGAAATTGAAATTGAAATTGATATTGATATTGATATTGATATTGATATCAATATTGATATCAATATAAATAAAAACGACCCTCATAGTTCTTGCATGAAGCTAACCAAATTTATACCTATTCCTTCCTTTTTTGGAATAACCATAGCTTCCACTATATAAAGTAAAATCACCTGACACTAACATCTATATGGCATGAACTATATATAGTGTTAATTATTCTTTAATCATTAACAAAAAAATTAAAAAAATTAATATAATAAAAGTTGACAATATTGATCATTAAGATTTAAGATTAAATGTAAGTTGTTATACAGCAGGACTTTTTATTACTTTATATAATAACTTCTCATTTTTTCTTCGAATTTTGCTGAGTACAAGACCATTATTTTGATGTATTTTTCATTTTACCATTACTATTAGACAAGTTCAAACTCAATATAGGATCAGAAACACTATTTTAGGATCTTTAGTAAAGACAATGCTATAACTTCTTACAAATTGTAAGGTGTAATTATTATGTGTTTTCGCGTGACTTTTCTAAGCTTCTTTTTTTTCTTTTTTTTTTAATTATAATTGCCGATCACTTTTATTGATTATGAAATATCTATATTTAGATCGTCAAATACGAAAAAGGAAAATCAATTTTCAATATTTTCTTTCCATTTCAGATTTTTATTTATTTTAATTTTTAGGTCGGTATATCTGTCGTTTCTGCTACATCAGTCATTAAAAATAAAGGTAGACGTTTTTCTTTTAAATTATAGTAATTTTGTTATTTAAGGTTTGTTAAAGATATAAATTTTTTTTGCTTTTTTTTATGTGCTATGCATGTACTGTTCAATACATCCGAGTGATACGAAAGTGGTGTGTTGTTTCCTAACAATTCAAAATGACAATCCATTTCTAATCATCAATCCTTTTTGAGGATACTGCGGTAAAAAACTCCTATTTGATTCTCTTAACAGCTGTTACACAAAAAATGCTTGCTGTTAACATTTTCATTTCTCAAAGTCTTTTTTTTCACGTTAATAACATTTTTATTTTTTAAATTTTATAATGTCTATCAACTTAGAAAATCCATCTTATTTAGCAGCATCATTTGCAATAGATAATGCAGTACCATTTATAAAGTTTGTACCACTTATTTCAGAAATATCCAAAATATTCATTGAAATTACAGAAATATATCAAACAGCTGAGCATAATAAAAAACTATGTGGTAAATTGTTGGATATAGTCCAAGTAGCTGCTTCGGCCGTTAGACAGTTAAAAGATCGTTGGGAAGAAAACGTAAATTTTTTTTCACAAGGAAATTTAATAAATTTACAGAAATTGGTTAATGTTATTCTTAAAATTCGTAAACTTGTTGGAGAAATTTCTCAGTTAAGAACGTTAGCCAGGCTTATTCATGCCAAATCTATTAAAAAGTATTCTAGCGAATTAATTGACGAATTTAATGCAATTATAAGCGTTTTACAATTTTCTTTGATGATTGACTTCAACATACGTGCTGACAAAGACAAAGAATATAATTTAAATCAGGTAACGTGTGATTTACAATTCAATATACATAATTTGATATCATGTATAATCTTACAAATCTTTTGATGTCATTATATAGTACCTTTCAAATTTTGACAGTGGTTTAACTGACATTCATAATGGTATCTCGGATGTTGTCAGGCATATTAATACGCTTAGGATGTCACAAGTTAAAACTACAGATCAATCAGATATATTCCAAAGTGAATTACTTGAATATAATGATTTTGAAGAAGAAGGAGAACTCTTAGAAAATCAAAATGTAAGAAAATATAAGAAAAGAAAAAATGGAGTGATTGATTTTGTTGCATTAAAGTTAGTGGCCGATGAAGATAGCAGTGAAGATGATAAAATTAATATTAGAAATCAAGTAACGATTTTGAAAAAATTGAAAGGGTCTCATTATATTATTGAATTTTATGGTTTAACTTCGTATGATGGTAAATTTTATTTGGTTACAGAATGGGCTGATCATGGAAATTTACGTGAATATTATCAAAAATATGGTCCACTTGAAGTTGGTCTGAAATTAAGATTTGCTTATAACATTGCCAGGAGCCTATCTTTCTTGAGCAGTATTTCGGTAACTTTTATTATTTTATGTGTTTCAATTTTTCTATCGTCCCAAAGAAAAAGTTCTTAATTTCTAAAAAGAATCCGCTTGATATTTTTGTGGGAATAACTCATTTCGACAGATCGTCCATCATGACATCAGAGCCGAGAATGTCTTAATTACCGATAATTATACAGCAAAAATTGCAAATTTTAAATCAAGCCGAGCAATAAATGATGAATCAAGAAATCTAAAAGAAACGCTAGAAGCTGCACGATATTGCGCTCCTGAAAATTTATTGTCAAATATAAAATATAATACCAAGTGTGAAGTTTATAGCTTTGGAATACTTCTTTGGGAAATTTCCGAAGAAAAGATTCCTTATGAGAATTTTGGCGATGATATTATAAAAATTACCGATCAAGTTTGTAACAAAGGATATCGTGAAGAATTTCCTTTTGATTCTCCAATGCCAAAAGAATATCGTGAACTTTCCGAAAAAGGTATTAATTTACTATTCATTAAATAACTTATCGGTTTTTTAAATACTAAATTCTGTAATCTCGTTATTATGATCTATCCTAGCTACTCACCCTAATCAAGGTGTTAGACCTGTATTTGCGAATATTTGTAACATGTTACAAAATCTATATCAATCTAATAGACCGCTTAGCAGGACATCATCATCCTCAGCTAAATCAACCTCAGCTAACGTGATATATCAATTGGCACAGAATAGATCAATGACAAACATATCTCAAAATAATGAATTAAAGGACTGGATTAAAAAAAAATTTATTACATATATAAAATGGAATGATCTGGTTGGTAATTCGCCAGTTGGTGCAGGTCATTTTGGAGTTGTATATAAAACGCATTGGAATAGCATGAACAAAGACGTTGTTCGTAAGACTCCATTCCTAGAAAATAATGATGCTATTCAACATGAAATACAAATATTAGCTAAAGTACAAGCTTCTGACAATATTATTCGTTTTTTAGGAATTACACAAGGTATTTAATATAATAGTAAATATGATTATATGTTTAAAAATAATCAACTTGATTCTTTCGAATTTATAGAACCAAAAAGTAACATTTATAGTATTGTTATGGAATATGCTGATGAGGGTGACTTGCGAACCTATCTAAAAATCAATTTTCAAAATCTTGAGTGGGATAAAAAGTTACAGCTAGCCTTTAATATTGCAAATGGATTAAATTGCCTACATTGGTATCACATATTGCATAGGGATCTTGTAAGATACTCTTATAATATCTTAATTTCTTATCTTAAAAAACAAAAAGACTAAACCAATTAATAAATTTATCTTTTAGCATTCAAAAAACGTAGTTATACATAAAGGAATTGCAAAGATAACTGATTTTGGAAACTCTAAAAGTATGGATTCCCAAACAAGTGTGCATAATAATGTTTTTGGAATACTTCCATATTTGGCGCCAGAGTTATTGGAACCTGATCTTCAACGTCTACCATATTCAGTTAAGACTGATATCTATAGTCTTGGAGTTTTATTTTGGGAGATATCAAGTGGAAATCCACCACTTATGAATTTTACAATTGGTCCGACTTTAGCTATTGCTATTATGAATGGAAAGAGAGAAGAAGTAATTCCGAATACACCATATGATTATCATGAACTTTATACTTTCTGTTGGGATCAGAATCAAGATAAAAGACCTATGATTCAACATGTATATTCAGTGTTAGAAAATATGTTAGAAAAGTTACATAAGAGTGTTGAAAAAGATAGCGAAGACATTAAAGGTAAGTATTATTTTTTATTTCATGGATTTTCTTAATTTAAATAACCATTATTCATACATAATTTTCAGTTATCAATACTATACATCTCACAAAAGAAGCTTCCGAAAATCAAAATTGTAGTGATACCACTTTGGTTAACTTAGAAGTTCTTTAATGAGACAAAAATAATCATTTATTTATATGGTTTACTTTAAATTACTCGAAGTTTACAAGCACTCAGTATTATGCAGAATGAATATGTAGGTCACGCAATTTATGAGTATAGGACAAATATATGGGTAAGTGCTGGGAAAAGGGACCAAATCGATATCCAAAAAATTATATTTTATCATAAATGGATGTAGATTTAGCTAAGGAACATTTTTTATTTAATAAAGAAAGATCATTAGCATGATTACCTAATTTCTGGTTTAACTATATTTGAGAAGTTGCATTATTTTTTTATAAAAGAAATAACTTGAAAAGTTCGCTGTTCAAAAATGACTTTCAGATTTCAATAATACTAAATTCGGACTGGTTTTTGTTTTATATTATGATCTGAATTTATCATGGAAACGCAAATCCTCATTTATTTCAAAATATGGGATGTAAGCTATGATCGTAACTCGATTTTAATAGCAAAATTCCCATATATGAAATGTCGATTTGTTCCCTTTTCCCAGCACTCACCTATTCTCAAAGTGGGTTTGATTGATTCGGTTTTTATGTCTCTCCAGTCCAATGCAAGATTGATTTGTGAATCGATCTATACAATTTTAACATGCTTAAACAATTTAAAAGTCGAGAAACCTAAATTTTCGTATCCGAGCAATTTCTTAATGCCGTAATTATGTAGCCTACCTGAATATATTGGATTCGATTCTTTTCAATGATTTTTCTATATATTAATCCGATCTGACACAAAAACATTAGATATTCTCGTTGTTAAGCATGGTATGCCATAAAAGTAAGTTAATATAAAATAATAATGCTTTCTTTATACAAAAACTATATTGTATAAAAGTTATCATCTGCAATAAAATACCATGTTAATTAAAAGTAAAGGCTTGCAGGAACTAACCTTGGAATTAATCTTTTCTTCATTGATTCTTCACTCATTACAATTTTGATTATCAGTATCAACTTATATTATAGTATATGGAATTTGATATCAACGATCATCTGCATGTCTTTTGCCATTATTCATTGTACTGTTTGAGTTTCTCCAGATGTAAATAATTGTTTATTAATAATAAATTTAAATATCTCAACGCTTCTTATGGACTGTAATGAGAATTTGAGAATTTCTATTTCTGAATTCCAAAACCAATTACATTCAATTAATAAATTCTATCAATAGTAAATTAAATCTTTTTTAACACTATATAATATAAAAAATAAAAATAAAATAAAATAAAACTTATAGAGGGAAACTAACGCAGCATCATTGAGTGGAGCTTGATCACCAACTGATGGTATTACGAAATGCATTACCTACAACAACGGTGGTATATGGATCAGGTAATACTGATGGTGTTAGCATTAAATGGACAACCGTTTCAGACAAATCATCCAAGTTTAGACATCGTCTATGATTTGTTAAGCCATAAAAAGCAATAAAGTTGGGTTGTACCCGTGATATATGCATTAAGTGCTACGGTGATAAGTATTGATCGTGTACTGGACTCTTCAGGGAAGGGACGGAAAGCATAACAAACAACATGTATACAAGAATAAAATTTCGATTATCTCTTGCAAGAGATATATAATTAGTAGTTTTCTTTTTGAATCATTTAATAGTTCTTGAATTAAGAGTAAATTGAAATCCAAGCACTTTTATAAGTTTTCAATAAATAGAAAGGGAGAAATTAATTTTACTTTTAAATGCCAAATATTATTTAGGTCAAAATAAACATTAACTCGTTTTTATTTTTTCCAGCCGTTTCCCCCTTTTCTATTGCAAAGGTTCCATAAATTTTTAAAACAATTCATTTTAAAATTTAATATGAAGCATTTGTTTACATATTAATAAGTTCAAAATTTGTTTGAAACCCATACGGAATACCATCCAAACTGCATCTTGATTAGAAATAATATTGTAAAAAATGACTCAGGTTGCGGATACTTTCTTGGCTTACACAGTACAGTTTACCAAAACAAATATTATTTAAATTACAAAAAATGACTTTTTTATTTTTTTTTTTTTAATTATGTTCCATACTTTTTAAAACTTTAGGAAAGTTTTCTTTTTGAATAAGATAATTGTCTTTAGAGAGTTCTTCAGAAGGTGGATTGGTACGGTACGATTCGCCAGACGGTACGATTTTGCAGATCAATATTTTTTTCGCGAAATTTGAATCGTACCGTACCGTACTGGTAGTATATATAAAGTTTATCATAGAACCAGTACGGTACGGTACGAATTTTAGAAAATTCGTTCTGGTTCATACTGCATCATTATTAGAATTTTAAAATTTATATTTCTGACATAAAGTAATTTGGTATGTTTGTTAAAATGAATTTGATAAAATTAAATTAAAAAGAAAAGCATTACTACATAAAATTAAAAATAATTTAAAACAATAATTTTATAATTTTTTAATATGATGCTTGTCCTTCAATAAAAATAATTATATTATTTTTTTATTGAAATAAAAAGAATATAATCAATAATCGGTTAAAAATTTAAATTTTAAAACTTACAAACTTTATAATAAATTCACCGTGTTATCAACGTCTATTACGAAAGATCATACCGTACCGTACCGTAGTGGTCTTATAATAAAGCTTTATATACTACCAGTACTGGTCTGGAGAATAGTACCGTACCGGTTTTCCATTACTAACTTTTTTTCATATTATTAGTAGATCTTCACTCGGATAGGTAAGTTTTTTTTTAAATTCATTACAGTTATGATTGCTTTATAAAATATTTGGCGAAGGTAAACTTTTAATGTTAATGAACTTTTGATGTCATTTCTGATTTTTTGCTCCAATGACCAAGAAGTACGAATCCACTTGGTCACATGATGCAATCGACCCATCCAAAAAATTTTTTTGAGGACTTTTCAGTCTTTCTTATGAATGGTAATTAAACTTGATTCGATTATTAGAAATTATTGTAATTAATTTATAAATAATAAGTTATTAGGGATTCGAATAACTAAGCAACACAAATGGAAGCGTAGTTGGATCCTGCAAAAAAACCAGATATAAATGGATTTATTTTTAAATCTATAATTTGGGAAATTATATTTGGTGAGATTTCAAATGATCCGACAAATAATCTGCGACAAAAGAACATGTACGAAGGACCGTATAAAATTTTAAAATTTTCTAAGGACGCATGGCAGACAGATCGTTAAAATTTTTTTTTTATCAAAAAAAAAAAAAAAATATTGCAATATAGCGAAAATAATTTAAAAAAAAATTTAAATGAAAACTAGAGAAGCGAATAGCTAAGGTACTGTACGCGAATCCTAAATCTTATATTTTTAAAAATAATTAAACCAATTTAGAAAATTTACTTATAAAGTGAGTAAAGCATTTTTATTTTTATTTACAAAAGAATTAAACAAAAAAAAAAAGATGCGGTCTGACCATTGTCCAATAGAATAGAATGATGAAATGTAAAAAATGTTGAAATATGGCTTTGAAAAAGACAAGACCTAATAAGTAAATGAATAAAAGAAACTGTTTCTAAGTTAAAGAAATTCACCTGGAATTTTCTTATTTTTTTAAAAAAAGTAAATAAAGATATTACGTGAATTATTTTCTTCTAAAGACGCATAAATTTTACTACGGCGTATTTAGTTATAAATACTGTATCAGAAGAGATTATTTTAATATTTTTTTGTTTAAAAAAAATTTAGCAATCTTCAAAAGCTGACGAATTTATTATCACTTTTTTTTCAAAAATAAATTAAACTAGAAACGATTTATCAAAGGTACAGATGAGCATTGCGGTTTTTTGAAGAAACTTTGGAAAATGTGATTTCCACATAATTATTAATCATAATGAAAACAAAAAAATTCATTGTAGTTTATAACCCTGCTTTGCAACAAATCAAGCTAAAAATCAAGCGTAAATATTCCAAAGTTTACCATTAGATGCACTTGTCGTGGGCGCCGTAATGTTTAAAATAAGTTTATTTTAAACAGCAATTTACTAATATTATCTTTATTTAAGACAAGCTTCTTGGTTAAAAAAATTAAGCTTTTGAGAAAAATTAAGACAGAAATTAACAATTTTTTATTAAACTCGTTAAATTGAAAACTTCTAAAATTTTATCTATCAAAATAAGTCTAAAGGATTCCGTTCTCACTTAAAAAGAAAGAAATTTCGAAAGAATTCACTTTATGTTATTTTTAGATTAGACAAGTCTAATTATAACAAAAGATAGAAAAAATAATTTTTTTTTTAATTTTGGTATATTTTTATTTTTCGCGCTTTATAGCCGCACTTCTGCCCTTTTTATTATTTCTTATGTTACCCATGGCTCCCATTTTCGTATAATCAATATTTGTATGGACCTTTTTCTTTTCCATCAACAATTATAATAATTATAATAAATATTTTTTTTTATAGTAGGACTAAATAAATCATTGATTTTGTATTTAAAATTTTTTTAATTTTTTTATGTAGCAATGCTTTTCTTTTTAATTTGATTAAATTGTAAAAGTGAAAAGTTTGAATACGTATTTCTCGGGAAGAGGCTACTAGAATTTCCCAACTTATACAACTTTGCTTTACAATTGGCAAGTGCTGTATCGTGTTTACATAAAGAACGAATTGTGCATCGTGACTTGGTAACTTTGCTCAATATACATATATCTTTTTTTGTTTATTGTTTTTGTTAATTATTAATAATAAAATTTATATAATAGCATTCTGGTAATATATTAATTCGTCAAGGTATTTTTAAACTAGCTAATTTTGGTTTATCGAAAAGAATTGAAGCTGCATCTACTCAGTCAAAAGTTTTTGGAGTAATTCCTTATGTTGTCCCAAAATTTTTTAACAACCGAAGAGGTGACAAAACATCACCACAATTTAAACTAAATGAAAGGAGCGACGTTTACAGTGTTGGCGTACTTTTGTGGGAAATATCAAGCGATCATCCTCCTTTTATATTAAAGATGAAGAATACTACGTTAGTTTAGCTATCGAAATCTTAGGAGGACTTAGAGAAAAGATCATTCCCGGAACACATGAAGATTACGTAAACATTTACACTGGTAAATATATGATTATGAATTTATTTGAAGTTATTACGTGAATATAATTCTAAGAAATCATCAAATTTTATGTTTTTAGAATGCTGGGATAATGATCCAGATAATCGTCCATTAATAAATCAGGTTGTCGAAAAATTGAATGCAATAGTTATGATAACCAGCAGAACAGAAGATATCCAAACGAATAATTATGAATCAAATCTTCAACATTCACCAGAACTATAACTTAATTCTTCTAATACACCACATGGTGAATTATCTCGAATTATTCAAAATTTTGATCAGGTAATTCTCAAATAAAAAGTTATGAATCATTATCGGAACGACCACAAATTTATTCTTTATCTCAAAATTTTAATCAGATGAATGTAGACGAATTAGAATCAAATATTGAAGTATTAGATATTATTTATTATGATACTATTGAAAGTTTAATGATTACGGAATTTAATAAGGATGACATATTAAACATCTCCTTAGGAGGATTACAAAGATATTGAAAATTAACTAAACTCAGTTGTAAAACTAAAATAAATAGCTTACAAAATTTACCCAACTCCTTAACGAATGTTGATTGCTCTAATACTTCAATAACTATCCTACCAACTTTACCCGACTCCTTAACGGTACTCAATTGTGGTTGCACTGAAATAAATTAACAATCTTATTTTTAGCGAAAGAAACACAATACTTCTCGGTAATACTTGCGATTGCGATAGCAGCATCTAACATCACAAACTATCATCATTTTAAAATTTCCATTGGATTCATCGTATTCAAGAGAATTTCTAATAAATTTAAAGCAACCAAAACTTTATGAGAATATAAATATCAGCAAAGAAGAGATACATTTATGTAAATTTTCAGATCTGCATTTCTATTGAAAATATATTCGGAAGTACATTGTAAAATTTTAGACAGCTGAACCCTAATATTAGTTTGGCAAATTTCAAGGTCATTTCAAGGTCATTTGCCAACACTGGTTCCAACAGAATAGCATACCCTGATAAGCCTTGATAGAAAATAAATCTGGGATCATACAAATTATTATATAAAAGGTACTCAACTTGTTCTCATTTTTCTCATTTGAACATCCAAATATGAAGAGTTATTACGCAGCTAAAACACATCCCTATGAAAATCTCAAACTTTAAAATAAGCAACCAAGGGTGAACTTTGCCAATTATTAACAATAAGGCAAGAAAAATCTGTAATATTGTATGTGGGAGTACAATTTAATATAATATTAACCAGTTCGGTATTATTCTAAATCGGGTTTTGTTGAACGATCGAATGATCGGCAAAAAATTGCTGAAATTATAAAATCACATAATTTGATCATCATAATAAAATACGATTTCTTTCCTAAATTTATTAAATTATAAATTTTGATGATTATAAATGTCAACACAATTTTTTCCCAAATTAAGTCGAAATTATATCGAAATATTAGAAGACGACGAATATTATGATATCACAATTGAAGTTGGAAAAGATCCAAATGTTAGAATATTCCGAGGGCACATGATTATTTTGTGTTATCGTTCTCCATATTTTCGACGAACTTTGGCAAATAAAAAGAATAATGAAGGGACCTTAACTAACATTAAATTACCAAATATTTCACCAAAAGACTTTCAAATGATTTTGAAGTAAGTGATTAACAAGTATATGCCGTTGTATAGTTAAATTTTCATCCTCGTATTTATTATTATCTTTACTTTCTTTTGAATATTAAAAAATATTAAAATCATCCTTTCTTTTAATATAGGTATATGTATGGTGGAATTATTTCATTTGACGAACAAGACATTATAAACACCTTAAAATTAATGAGTGCTGCTGATGAGCTTCATCTTCAAGAATTGGTTGAATATTTACAAAAATATCTAATTGAAAAAAAAGTTGTATTGATGGAACAGCATTTTGAACTTGCTTATAGAACAAGCTATCAATCTAATTCCTTTTTAGAACTTCAAAAAATATGCACAGAATTTATGGCTAAATCACCGGAAAAGGTATTCAAATCACTTGACTTTACTTCGCTTCCTGAAAAATCTTTAATTTCACTTATTAAAAGGGATGATTTACAAATGAAAGAAGTTGAAGTTTGGAAACATGTATTAAAATGGGGTCTTGAAAAACATTCCACGCTTATTCCGGATCCTTTAACTTGGTCAGATGATGATTTCAAAATGTTGGAAAATACCTTGTTAAATTGTTTACCCTTTGTTAGATTTTTCAGTTTATCCTCTGAAGATTTCATCAAAAATGTTCATCCATATAAAAGGCTTTTGAAAAATCAACTTTATGAAGATTTATTAAATTCACATTTGGATCCTAATAGTAAACCAAGTGATGGTATATTACTTCCTAGATTTAGAAATGTTGATGGAATTATTGATACAAGAATCGTTAATTTAAATATTGTTTCCATATTTTCGAGATGGATTGATAAGTTAGAAATTAAAAACAACTTTGCTTATGTGAGAGAACTTTATTTACCATATAAATTTAAATTATTATTAAGAGGAAGTCGAGATGGATTTACACCTAAAAAGTTTCATGAATTATGTGATAATATACCTCATACAGTCACATTCATTAAAGTAAATGGAACAGAGGAGATTCTAGGAGGATATAATCCTTCAATATGGAAGGGATCTACCTCGGGTGAAAGTGGTCAAACGAAGGATAGTTTCATATTTTCTTTTAAGAATAAGGATAAATTTAAGGATTCAATTTTAAGTCATGTGAAAATTAAACATATTGCGAATGCTTTATATTATCACGATACATTTTGTCCTGTATTTCGTAAAGATTTGTGTATTTACAATGATTCTACTAGCGAAAAAGATTATAATCGTTGTTTTTGTATGCAAGCAAGATATGAAAAAAGCATAAGAGATACTGTAGATTTCAAAATTGATGATTATGAAGTATTTCAAATCTTGGAAAATGAGACAATGTAATTCAAATTACAATAGTGATTAGGATCAATAATTCTAGTTATCTAATATGGCTTATTCTGATTTAAACGTTGATTTATTAACATAATTTTAAGATAATAAAAATTTTAGTATATTATTATTATATCGCAAATTATTATTTGTTTAATCTTAATTCGGTCATAATTATGTGTTGGAGAAATTTCCTTAATTTGCTTCATCATTTAAAGTAATTCATGAACAGACAATTTAATTTCATTTATTTTTTTTGAATGAATACTTGATAATGAAAAATAAACATATTTAACAACTTGATACATTTAATAGAATTGTTTCAAATGCTCAGTCCTGATACTTCAACGTTAAGGGATCAATAAACTCAAACCTGCATCAACGCTTCTACCCTACTTCTATAATGCTTCACCATCAAGACCTAGATTATTGTATAATTTCGATTCTCATGATCGATAGCACGACGATTAAATTGCAAATGAAAAATTATTGCCATGTCATGTACAGAAATAAGTATATCGTCCTTCTACTTAATAATTATTTCTCATTTGACACTTTAGTTCATTCTCATCTTTAAGTAATACTTATATATTTGTTAAACTCCTTCCTTCTTTGAAAATTACTAATTTTAATAATGTTTAGTGAGTTACAAATTATTATTCTCGCAAAGTACAGTACATCTAAATTAAATTAGTTCCGTCATATAAGCTCATGTGCTTCTATTTTCTACATAATAATTAGTATCATAAGAATAATTTTAATATGATTTTCAAGAAATTCTTAAAATTTTTCATTACAATCTAATTATCTATCTAAATTTTAATAATAAGACGATGAGGATTAAAATGGTTGCGAAACATTGATTAAACTGTATATTATATGATGAACCTGCCTGAACTCCTCTTTGAAACAGTTTAAAGAAAATCTAATACAAAACTTTCTATTTATAGTAGAACAATCTTCGAACGTTGCATACTGACAAGTTTTGTTGTAGTTGATCGTTCGTAGTACATCATCACGTTTACGAATTATGTGATCAAGATGATTTTGTTTTAGATTTACTGATGATTGCTCTGTTCCTATAAACTTTGTAGCAATAGCGGAAATCAATGGATTACAATATAAGTTAGAGTTGAACAAAAATAATAATAAATAAATTCAACATTAAGTATTAATTTTAATCACAAAATTTTTTTTTTTTTAGGCGATACTATATATATGTTCCTTCGACACGTTATTGGAGACCATAATATTTCTTCGTTTTATCATGAGCAATCTGTTTGTAAATAACGTTTTTTTAATGCCGAATTCTTCCATAATTTGAAATCATTATAATACTATAAAAATTACTCTTAACATTAATCACATGTATTAAATCCTATATTATTAAATCTAAAGTTAATGAATGTGTATTTTATCACTTTGATACTTGCTATCCTAAAAGGAAGTTTCTTCTCGTTGAAGTTGTTACTGCTACTTAAATTTAATTCCTTGCAACCTAGGTGAACTTAGAAAGCATCGAAGTAAACACTCATTTAACAGTATATCAGTGTATGCTCCTTACCAATAATATCAAAATCTGTATTAAAAGTATATGCCAAATGCTCTCCTTTAATAGTTTAAATAAAGTATTAAGCATTGATTAATTTCTTTTATTTATCAGTGACGTGACGGGTTGTTTATTCTTTTATTTTGAGCTTGCACTTCATTTTATACAATGCGAGGAAGGTAACTTGGACAAATTATACCACTAGATGATCTTATTCGGTGCAACTTGTTCTTTTATAACATAATTATTTTTCTTAAAGTGTATAAAAGAATATGATGATTATAATTCAACGCATTTTGTAAAGGATTAGTGAATATTTTTGTCATTAAATATGAGTCTGCTAAATAATTTCTGGTTTTATAACGATAATAAGAAGGTTTTCTCGAAGTAATTTCTTAACAAACTTCTGTTGCCGAAGCTTTAAAGACACATTTTCTATGAAGCTTCTTATTCAACTCAAAAATGAATTGTTATTTGGAGCTAAACTATACGTATCCAATATGTCATTATAAGTGATCAGTCAACAAAATTTACAGCTAAAAAATCCATGCCATTATTCTACAAATTTCAAAACCTTCAAAGATACTATGCAAGATCTTTAAAATAAACAGCAATTATAACCACATTATCAACAACCCTTACAACAACAACTCCAACAAGAACACTCATAATTATTCACATAGATTATGCTATGTTTATTATAAAAATAAAGATCATATTATGCACAAATTTTGATAATAATCGAAGGGTTAATATAAAAGAATTGGAAATCAAAAACAGAAATTTGGAAAACGAGTAATAATGACAGACGTTTCTTCCCGATCTTCAATTACTCAAATAAAAAATGACAAACTCGAAAGCAAATGTCATAAACAAAAGAATCTGTTACATTCATTATATGAATAAGAAAATTAACAACTGGAAGCTTATTTATGTTAGTAAGACATTTTCAAATTTATTTTTTATATTTTTGTAAATAATTACTGGATGAGATTATTTAACTTGGCAACGTACTTGTTCGTCGATAGTGGAAAGGAACGCGGATTTTAACGGTTAGTAAATTGTTACCGGATGTTCAATTTGTTTACGTGGGTGATGAGTCCCTAAAATTTCTCGAGAGTATAATAGGAAAACCTGTATTTGTCTTGTTCACATAAAATTAAAACCCATTAGCTAGTGAGAGGTTCAAACTTGATGAATATTTAGAAAAAATGTCCTGATCTAAAGCTATATGTTATAGGAACAATAACATATGTAGAATTAACTTTTTTTATATACGCTTTAAATCTAACTATTAGGATTTTAAAATAAAGTTGTTTAATGAATCAAAATATGTTCAGTATAGAATTAAGAGATTGAATGAAAAATATAACGTATGCTCACCTCTTTTAAAAAAATATAAATAAATCAAAATTATTGTATAGGGTTGCATTTTGTTTTTATGAACGATAGGATCCTATAATTTACTGTTTCATAATTCTAAAATGATAAATATATAATTATGATGTAATGACGTGGATATTTTATAATACTGAATATCTAAAAAATTCAGTCATATAAATATAATTATAATATGTTACAATCCTAATGGTTTAGAGTCGATCTTATTAAAGAATTTGCTTAATAAATATTTTAAGAATAATGTTTGTGTAAATTGAAATAAGTATTTTTAATCAAGGAATTCGTATTTATCACTGTAGAAAATTTATTGATAAATAATAAATACAAGTATCTTCTAAATCATATACAGTACATCAAAATTTGTAGGTGATATTTTTACTTCAGTAATAGAAGTATATTAATTAACAAATCAAAATTGCGGCTTCGAAAGGCTGAAAAGAAAATAGGGTTGGTGCTATACATTACGTCATTATTCAAGTTATTCATTTTTTTAAAATAGATATAAGCTATAAATTTCTATTTAAATAACTTAATTTTAATATATAAATTCCACCGGCATCAGAAGTATTTGTGGCACATGGCACAATTTTGATTATAATGTTACACTGACTAAATATGACATAAATGTTGTCCGCTGATCGGTCACTTTTTCCTAAACCTTCGCTCATAGAATAACCGATATTATGACGGATAATTTTGATATAGAAAAATTTGGACTTAGTTTTGAAAAATTAAACAATCAATTGGCAAATTTATTGGAGAAAAATAAGAGACTCAAACAACAAAATTTAGAACTTCAAGAAGAAAGGATAGAGACCTTACGTATTAATTCGGAATTAATAAAAGATCTTCGGGAAAGCAATGACCAATCTGAAAAATTTCAAAAACAAGTTGTAGAGCTTTTATCAGATAGTAAACTGCTTTTTCAAGAAAATAAAAATCTTCAAGAAAGAAATCGAGAAATCTCACATAATAATCTAGTCTTAAAAAAAGAACTCCAAGAAAGAAATGAGCAAATGAACAAGCTTCAACAACAAGTTCTAAATTTGGATAAACAAAAAAATGAAATGCAACAACTTGAAAAAATTTCTCGAAATTTAGAAAAAACTCTAGAAATGTTGGAATTTGATGAAACTAATGAGAATGATGAAAAAACCATTCCTTTAAATGATGATATCATTCAACCTGCTGACAAATTTATCAAAGTTCCTGATACTACCTCTGATTCTTTCGACCACGGTATGTAATAAAATAAACATTCACAATTATAAAACAATAAATTTAATTATACTGATTAATCAGAAAACTTCTCTTCAGATTTGAACATTTTGCGTGAGTAACGAGTCATTTTTTTTTTTGGTTTCGGTTTAGTTGGACTTTCTTCTCGATAACTCAGAGATAGATTTGATATTCTAGAAAGGTTTTTTCCTCCATTCCTTTTTACATTATGTTTTTTAATTATTGATTATTTTTCTAATTTTTATTTTAAGGCGCTTTTTTCGCGTGACGGAGGGTCAGTTCGGTTTATTGCAGTAAGGCTTTTTTATTTTTATTATTGTTATTTTACTGGTTTTTCTTAAAAAATTTTTATAGATGATTTTTTAGGCGACATCAAATGCATTTAGATTTTTTATATTCATTAATTATTTTTAAACTTTCTTTTTTATAGAGGGTTGTATTTAGCAGTGAACTGTATTTGATTTTATCTGAATATTTCACGGTGGCTTTAATGAAATAAATCGTTATTATAATCCAATTGATTTTTGTTTCGTTAAAAATTAAGATTTGGCAAAGCTTATTTCAGGCCCTAAATGAACATTCCACGATTCTTTGAAACATGCTAGATTGCCTGTTGGAGAAAGATGATCTTTCAATGAAATTACAAATAAATCTTTGTAGTCATACTTTACTATTTTTTACAATGGTAGGACTAATCGTTTTTATTAGAATCTGTGGCCTCTGTCTCAAATAAATTTCGCCAAAGGGCATAATGACGAAGTATATTATCATAGCAGCATGATTAAACTAGATTAATAATACTAATAAGACTAAACTATCATTTATTAAATAGCAGTCTTCGATATTTAAACTGTGAAGGAAGATATTCTTGTAAGTTAAATTAGAATTTCGTATTGTATGCTTTTAAAATTGAATACACTTTTAAAAAAGGCTTTTCAGAACAAACTAATTGTAAATGGCTATGGCTTGAAGATTGCCCTTATCAAGTCCAAAATAAGCATTGTTATTTTCGGTTTTTTTTTTTTTTGTTTTTTTTTAGATTAAAAAACCTTAACGAGAGGTTGGAGCAGGTTAAAGATTTTTAACCGGTTAAAATAGATTAATTTAACTCCGGCTGAAATTCAATTTCCGGCCAGAGTTAAGATTTTTATGGTTGTCAAAAAAATTTTCTAACTCCGGCCAAATTTATAGTACTAGCCTAAGTGGTTATAACCGGTTATTATGCGATCAAAGAATTTTTGGCCGGTACCAACCTAATCTTAACATTGCAAAATTTATTTATAATGCTTTCAAAGTTTGTAGATAGTGGTCGGAAATAGAAATAGAGATGATCGGACTGTTTATCAGTACAATTGTATATGTTGGAAGCCCTTTAATACCAATTTTTGATTTTAACCAATATATATTCTCATGAGTTGTAGAATGGGAGAATCGCACCGATTTCGAAGAATTAGAAACTCCATTCTCCATGTAATCTCTTTTGCATGTGAATTATTTAAAAGATGACGGGTTTTTTGACATAATATACTTTTTTCATACACAAACACTCTATATTTCAACGCACTTAGCATATTTAATGATTAATTAAAAAACTTTGTATATGTCAAAATGGAATTATTATCTATTTCAAAATTCCATATTTTAAAAGGTCACCGTTGACTGATTGATAATTATGCCGTTAAAAATAACTTGTACTTTTCTGAATATTGTAAAATTCAATATCGTTATTGATATGTATGCAACCATCTCAATAAAACCTGTATATTTTAACATAAATAATGAGATCAATTAGAAATTTCTATTAAATGTGATTTTATATTTGAAGTATATTCCGAGATATTCATATTCCAATTTAATAATTCACTGAGAGATTCTACAATCATGTCATGTTTCTTACTTTATTGCTCGTCTATTGATGAATTTGTTAGAAATATTAATTCGGTCGGTCATTAATGACATCAAAACAAATGTATAATACACTCCCTACCCAAAAGTATTAGACCACATAAAAATTTTTATAAAATATCAAATTTTTTTTTATCTACAGTTTTTATTAAACTCAAA